ACTTTTCAACTATCACTTGAATCTAAACAATGTACTTTGCAAACTGCCGATACCAATGTGAGTTATGGAAATTTTACCTTATGGGATATGTTGTCGGTAAGTATCCAGGATTTAAAGCCCTCAATGGAATCATCAAGGATACTTGGCATTGTGAGGCTTCTTTAACGGTACATGAATCTAGGCTGGCTTATTTATAAATTCAAACAGGAGGAAGATAAGGTTTTGGTTCTTAATAGGGGATCGTATTTGATTTATGGGCGAGCTTTGATTTTATGACCAATGTCGGAATACTTTGATTTTTCCACCTCCGAGATGGCTAATGTCCCTGTTTGGGTCAAGCTCCCCAATCTGACACTCAAATGTTGGTCCACTGTGCGTTTGTCGAAGATTGCTAGTTTGCTAGGAAAACCTCTCCAATGCGATCGTTTGATTGCTTCAATGGATAGACTATCCTATGCTCGAGTCCTTGTGGAACCGAACATTATGGAAACTCTCCCTCGGATGGTCGGCATCTTATTACCGAATAATACCACCCTCTTGCAACCGGTTGTTTATGAGACTCTCCCCATTCATTGCAAAAAATGTCGTATACTTGGGCATTCCACAACCGCATGTAAAAGTCGAGCCCCTGCGGAATTGAGTAAGGAAACCACCAATGGCGGTGAAGCTGCGGCGGGCGAGCCGGAACAAGTGTTTTCCAACGGTTGGGTGATTTTGCCAAGGTGCGCCCGGCCACGGTCCACTCACTTACCGACCCCATGCTATTGGAAGCTACTGATTGGGAGACGAGTAAAGTGCAAAACACACTCTCGCGAGCTATCGATAAAGGTAAACATGTTATGGTTGATTCTACCATAGGTCCGGCGTCCCCTTTGACACTGAGGCGATTGAGGTTCGGCACGGGGTCGAAGGTTGCGAGCAACGGGGACACGGGTTGGTTGAGAAGCCAAATTGTTGAGCAAGCCAAACTGCAGGGGCCATCATGCCGAGGGCGAGTCGGTTCGGGGTACTTGTAGGAATGGCTCTCCCGATAGAAAACATAGTGGCAAGTCGGGGCCTCCCATCATAGGGGCTGTTCTCGACAAGGAAGGTGAATGCCTTAATGTTCCGGCTTCCCTTGCGGACACCAATTTGGATCCCACGATCGGACAAGAAGAGCGGACCGCCGGATCCACTTCACCTAGGTAGGTCGCCGGCAGAGTGGTAAGAAAGGGTAGAAGCGAGGGTCGAAGGGGCTCGGCCTCTTTCGCTCGTCCATGATTATATTTAGTTGGAGTATCGAAGGACTTAATAGTCCTCCGAAATAGCATGAGGTAGTGCATCTCATAAAGAAAAAGAAGGTTGATATGTGTGCCTTCGTTGAAACAAAACTCGGTTCTACTAAGCTTGTCAATATGCATCGGCTTAGACTCAAGCAATGGAGCTTTATGTCTAATGCTACGGTAGTGGGAAATGCCCGCGTTGCACTTTTCTAGAATCCAAGAACCATAACAGTTAATATGTTAAATGTCTCTATTCAAGGTCTAAATGTTAGGATCACCGACCTTGTACAATAGCTATCTCTTAATGCCACTTTTATCTATGAGTTACACTCCATCACTTGCTAGAAGAGGGTTGTGGGTTGATCTTCGTTAGTGGCAATCGAATTGCCCTTGGCTTATTTTAGGGGACTTTAACTCGATTCTCTCGCATGTTGATAAACATAAGGGTGATGTTGTCTCCAACTACGAGACCGTCGACTTTAGAAGTTGTTGCTCGGATCTTGGGCTAACGGACCTTAACTACACGGGGAGCCATTTTACTTGGAATGGGGCGGATGTTTGGACTAAAATCAACAGAGTTCTAGCTAACCCTTTTTGGTCCTCCACCGAGCGACTTGCTCATATTCATTTTGGCCCTCCGGGTGCTTTTCTAGATCATTCTCCGGTTATTGTAGACTTAGGCTCCCGTGTTCATTTCGAAACTTGCAGCTTTAAATTCTTCAATATGTGGGTCGCCCACATTGATTTTCCGAGAACTGTGGTCAATTGTTGGGAAGCTAGAATCGGTGGCACCCCGATGTATGTCCTTTGTCACAAATTGAAATCTCTCAAGGAACCACTCAAGAAGCTGAACACACTCCATTTTAGCCATATCTCCCAAAAGGTGGTCGGGCTCGAAGCCGACTTGGCTACACTACGGATCGAGCTTCACTTAGATAGAGATAATTTATAGCTTTTTCAGAATGAAAAAAGGCTCCGGCTCCATCCGGTTAATCTCTAAGCCTCGAAAAAGATGTTTTTTGGTCGGAAATTAAAGTGCAAGTTCCTTAAGGATTGCGACAAAGGCACTAGTTTCTTTCATCGCCTTATGAATCGAAGCACAAAGCCAACCATATTGCTTGCACTTAAATGGGGAGATGGGCAGCTCACTACCTCTATTACGAAGTAGGAGATGAGTTTGTTTCCTATGACAAAAACCTCTTAGGTACCATTAAAGCTACGGTGCCTCTTCACCCGCACATTGTTGCTAGTGGGCCTCGATTACAAATGGCCAGCCATGATCGGCTTCTCTCCCCGATCACGATGGATCTCATCCGAAGACACCGTTTAGCATAGACAATGATAAAGCACCGGGCCCCGATGGGTACTCTTCCTTCTTCTTCAAACAGGCTTGGGGATATTTTTGGGAGAGACTTTTGTGCGGTGGTTAAAGAGTTTTTTGTACCTAGGAAGCTCCTAAAATAGGTTAGCCACTCTGTTATAGCTTTAGTCCCCAAAATGGCCAATGCTACCTTGCCAAGTGACTACGGACCAATCTCCTACCGTAATGTAGTTTATAAGGTGATTACCAAGATCATTTCCTCCCGCCTATCCTCGGCTCCGATGGATATAGTTAGTCCTATACGGAATGCCTACTTGGGGGTAGAAAAATGTCGGACAATATTTGCTTGGTTCAAGAGTTACTTCGACTTGTATGGACGAAAGCGATCTTCTCCAAGGTGCTTAATGAAGATTGATTTTCGTATGGCCTTTGACTCGGCGCAATGGGGTTTCCTAAAATAGCTTCTATTACAATTGGGCTTCCCGAGAAGATTTATTGGTTGGATTATGACATGTGTAGAATCGACTTCCTACCCCATTTCGATCAACGAGGGCTCGTTTGGGTTCTTCCTTGGAAAAGCAAGTGTTAGGCAAGGTCACCCTCTCTCTCCCTACCTATTTATGGTCCGCATGGAATACTTCTCTCGCTTACTGCAGGTTGCGACAAGAAATTCGACTTCCGCTTCCACCCTCAATGTGGGATCCATGCTATCACCTACCTAGCCTTTGCGGATGACGTCTTGTTGCTTAGGCTGTGGAGATGCTACCTCTATCAGGATTCCGTCCAGCCAACTATCTATCTTTGGTAGTGTATCCGGCCTAGCCATCAATATGGCCAAGTCTTTGATCTTCTTCGGTGGGGTGGGAAGTGACTTGAAAAACTCCATCCTCCAAGAAACTAGGTTCCGTGAGGGCTCTTTCCCCTTCAAATACCTAGGGGTCCCTCTAAGCCATCACTACTTGCTTGCTAGTCGGCTTGCCCCTTTGCTACACGGTCTTGAATCCGCGATTCAAAGCTGGATGGGAAAACATCTATCCTATGTGGGTAGGCTCGAGCTTCTCGGATCCGTCCTCTTTAGCATGATACAATTCGGCTTGCTATCTTTCCTATGCCTGTTGTGTTTATTACACGTATCACTAGTATGTGTTAGAATTTTTTATGGACGGGAGATGTCGGTAGGAGCTTTTCGGCTTTGGTGGCTTGGAAAAGCCTCTGTTCCCCTAAATTAGAAGGTGGCCTAGGAGTCTTCGACATTAAAGTGAAAAATCAAAGTTTTCTGGCTAAAAGGCTCCAGGACATACACCTCAAGGCCGACTCCATTTAGATTTGCTGTGTCCATCACTTTTACTTGCAAGACAGTCGAGTGTGGGATGTTACCGCCCATCGCAATGCTTCGCCGTTATGGAAAGCTATTCTAGATTTGAAAGACTTGCTTGTTGTGAAATATGAGAGTAAAGATGCAGCTATACGTGAGCTTGCTCGGCGGAACTCGGTAGAGGGAAGTTTCTCTAATATTGCATATACACGGCTTAGGCCAATAGGGGAACTAGTGTTCGGGGTAGGGTGATTTGGGAGTCATGGTCCATGCCATGACATTCCTTTATTCTATGGCTTCCTACTAGGGGTGCCTTAAAAACTAAGAACCGTCTTCGTTTTACGCCTACCGAGTGATGCATGTCTTCTTTATGATCAAGCTATCGAGTCATATAACCATTTGTTCTTCTCCTGCCCTTGGACCGCTAACCTCTCGGTTGAATATTAAGCGATGGTTGCAAATTCGCGGAGGTATGTAGACACTCACTAGTGCTATCGGAGGCCTCTCCTGTCGTTGTAACAATCTTGAAGTGAAAATGAGGAGAGTGGCCCTTAGTATCACGGTTTATGTCATATGGGAAGAAAGAAACGAGCGCACCTTTGATGGGTCGGCTAGCTTGGTGGACAATGTGTTTCGTAAATTTTAGATTATTTTCTATATGGTATTCTATTTTCATGGATCGGACCCCTCCTCTTGTCCGTGGGCTAGCCTTGATTTCTTCGATGAGTTCACGAGTTCTTCTTTGGTCGGGTTCTTCTGCTTGGTTCTCGGGGTTCGGTCTTTTTGGGTTGTCTAGTTGCTCTTTCAGGCTTTCGGGTTGTTTTAGTTTTTCTATTCTATTCGGGGTTGAGCCTTTGTTTGGGTCCGTCTCGGATATTATGCTCGCAAACGCAAGCCTCTGCTGAGTCGGGGGTCTTGTTGAGTTTCACCACTTGCCGACTCCTTAGCTATTGCCACATATTGATTAGAGTTGATTGGTCTTGCTTACGCTTGTGGGTTAGATATTACTCCATGCCCGTCTAGTTCCTTCAACCTATTCGAGTCCGGTTGTAGGTCTACTTATTGGTTTGGGTGGGCTCGGCTTCGGTTTTGGTTGGGCTAT